ACTGTATTGACCAGAGGAGACAAGTGAAAGGGTCTGCACTCTTCTGGTCTGCTGGAAAGTGCGGAAATCTGAGGAACCTGGTGGGAGCTGGGGAAGAACAGGGTTCAGGGTGTGTGTGCACATATGTGTCCATGTGTCCATGCATGGTGGGGGCTCTGGGAAGAGCAGGAATGGGGAGTTGGGAGATGTGGCAGTGAGGAGGCTATGCACTGAGGCAGAAGACAGGAATTCCACGTGAGAATTGTCTTTGCTGGCCACACGGCACGTGCAGGAAGGAAGACGCCCAGACGTGTGCATGCACGTGCTCAGAGCTCAGAGCCCAGGCCTGAACAGGACATAGCCTGGGGGCTGCACATGGAGGCAAATGGCTGACAGGGACAAATCCTCTCCAGAGCACGCACCCTAAAGTCTGCAGAAGAGGGGGAAACGACCAGCAGGGGCTCTTCTCCCACCCACTGTCTCTCCTGCACATGTGGGGCTTGTGAGGATCACACCGAGGCCCAGAACTCCAAAGAGAGAAATGCAGAGTAGGCTTTCTCTGGGCACATGTGGGTGTGTCAGGTTCTCCAGAGGATGGGTGGCTCTGAGGACTTCCATGGTGGACGTCGGCTCCTGGTGATGGAGGGAGTCCCACCATCGGGCCACAGCTGGAGGGCTAGGAAAGCCAGTAGTGCAGTTAGCCTGAGTCTGAAGGTCCAAGAACCAGGACCTTCGATGTTGAAGGACAGCAGACAGGTGGACAGGGATAGAGACAGGGATAGAACAGGTGGCCTTTCCTCTGCCTCTGTGTTCTGTCTGGGCCCTCACCACATTGGGTGATGCCCATGTGCATTGCTGTGGGTGATACTCTGTATCCCGTTACCGATTCCTATGCCAGTCTCTTCAGAAACATTCGCAGACACACCCAGAAATCTTGCTCCTCCAGCTGCCTGGGCGTCCCCTGGTGCCGTCAGTTGACAGCTGAGGTTCTCCATCACTGCTTACGCTGGGCTGGGCAGCTTTGTGGCACGGCTGTTCTGCTCACTGCAGGATGTTTAGCAGCAGCTGGGGCCTTTACTGACCAGATGCCACAGTGCTCAGTTGTGACAGTCAGGAACGTCTCCTGGCAGTGTGCGTGTCCTGGTGGCCACCGTGGTCCAGGTTGAGCACTGCTGGTCTGCTCTGACCTTCTGTGCCCCAGGGTGGAGGACAGTAGCATGTGTGCAGCCGTGGTAACTGCTCCATGCCACTCTTCTGTGACTTCCACAGGAGCCACCGCCCATATGGCCACATGCACTGCAGGACGGTGAGTGTGGTTGCGTCTGAGGGGTGCTTGTGCTTGGACATCTGTGTGCCCTGGCTCACTGTGTAAAATGCATTTCCTGCTGGAGGGGTACTCAAAATGAGGGGTTCCTTGGTGTGGTTCTCCTGAAAGTGGACAGGGTTTCCTGCAAAGCCACTGCCTGTCTGTGCCAGGGGGACCTGGAGACTCTGGTGAAGTCAGGTGGGGACAAGAGACAAGGCCACATTGATGAACCTACACTGTGGTTGGATCCACAGAGGACTGCCAGAGAAGTGGAATTTTCCTGGAAAACCCAACTGGCCTAGGAGTTGGTGAGCTCGCCACTGTGCTGGCAAGAGCAGTTCTTAGTTTCTGGGAAATGCACTCACTAAATTCTTCCCCGACAGGCCCGTGCCTTTGGCGTCTACCTCAATGTCATCATCAAACCCGAGCTCACCTAGACTTTCTCTTGTGTTGCCTTCTGAATGCTACTGTTTTGCATTTTACCGTTAAGCCTGTGATGCATTGTGGGTGGTTTCTGTGAAGGGTGTGAGGTCTACACATAGATCCACTTTTGACTTTTCACATGTTGTGTCCCATTGTTTCAGGACCATTTTTTGGAAAGACTCCATTGCAGTGCCTTGCTCTTTAGACAAAGACTGGTTGGTTTTTTGTGCATGGGTCTGCTCTGAGGCTCTCTGTTCCATTTGTCTGTCTTCACCAGCATTGAAAGTGGGTCGTGTCAGTCATCAACTTTGTTCTCTAATTTACTGTTTTTCAGATCACCAGCCTCAGCCAGCTGGCAGCTCAAGGAACCAGTTTTGCAGGTCTTACAACCAGCATTTTTAGAAAAATTGAGTGTGACAGAATAAAATGAAAGAGGGGCATTTTCTCTAATCCTGGAAGTGCTGTTTGCTGACACTTGCATTTGTAACCCGTATGTGCCCTGGGTCACAGTGTGTAGTGTGGCTCTGTAAGCTGTGCCCATGCCTCACAAGCCTCTGTGAGGAGGATCTTCTAAAATGCAGGTCAGGACCCCTACAGTCTGAAAGTGAGGACTCAGCAGTGTATACTGAAGGCTAGGGAGGCAACTCTGGCTGGCCACCACTTCCCCTGTGTCCGTGTCTCACCCAAAGACGTGGTGTCCTAAGGGGTCCTTAGCTTATGCAGTTTTCTTTCTGTGGATTGCCTGCCATTATTTCTAGCTAGCGAGTGACAAGGACTCAGCCTGCCATTATTTCTAGCTAGCGAGTGACAAGGACTCAGCCTGTTAGGTGGACTGCGCTGTGTGCCCAAAAGACTCAGGTTGCCTACCAGGAGACCCATGGGCTCCGAGCTGTGTTCAGCCACGTGGACGGCTGACCAACGGGGAAGTGAAACACTGGTAACCTTTTCAGCTGGGTGCCACCCACCTTCCTGTAACCACACTCTGGGATCTTCAGGTTGGATTTCTTTTTTTTTTTCTTTCTTTTTTTTTTTTTTTTTTGACAGGCAGAGTGGATAGTGAAAGAGACAGAGAGAAAGGTCTTCCTTTTGCCGTTGGTTCACCCTCCAATGGCCGCCACGGCTGGTGTGCTGTGGCCGGCGCACCGCGCTGATCTGAAGGCAGGAGCCAGGTGCTTCTCCTGGTCTCCCATGGGGTGCAGGGCCCAAGCACTTGGGCCATCCTCCACTGCCTTCCCGGGCCACAGCAGAGAGCTGGCCTCAAAGAGGGGCAACTGGGAAAGAATCCGGCGCCCCGACCGGGACTAGAACCCAGTGTGCTGGCGCCGCTAGGTGGAGGATTAGCCTGTTGAGCCGCGGCGCCGGCCAAGGTTGGGTTTCACTTAAAATTGTGTGTGTCTGGCCCAGGAGCATCTGGGGTGCTCCTCCCCGCAGATGAGGAAAGGGGAGAGTGGAGTGGCTGGGGCTGGGGGTCATGTGGGGGGCGGGGAGTGATGGTAGCCTACAACCCTCTTGCTGCCTGGCAACAGGGTCAGTAGCATTTCAGAGGCCATTGCCAAGCTCTGTGACCAATGTCAGTGTACATCTATCTACAGGAAAAGGGGACGGGCAGGGCACAGGCAGAAGCCCCAGGCAGAGACTTTGCTGAGCTGAACCAGGCAAACTGGGCAGCTTCCTTTCTTCCAGCAAGCAGCAGGGGCTGTCGGCGAGACCATCCCTGGACATGGAGCTGGCCTGGTCGGGCCAGTGGCTTCCCAGGACCATTCCCGTGTCACTGTGCTCCCTGGAGCCCCTCTGCCACTGAGTCTGATCCTTAGCCCTTCTCACTGCCAGCTGCTGCCTCCGTTGCACTCGGACATCTCAAGTGCCTCTGGCAGTTTGGGGAAACATGAAATGTTGTGGCTTTAGGATCCCAGGGTTACAGGGGCTTCAGGCATGGGGGAGACCTCCTCAACCCTCTGGGTGCTCCCAGGTCAACAATTTTCATTCCCTAGGCCGTATGAGACCCAAGACCCATCTTCCATGGAGATGCCCGAAGCACAGAGGAAACAGGAGGCCACAGCAGAAGGGAAGGCTGAGCGCTCGCCAACATGGCCGTGGGCGAGGTTGACATCGCACCCAAACAGCACAGACTCAAGAGAAAGGACACCGGCCGAGGGCCCTTCACTGGCAGGGCTGTAGCAGCCAGGGCAGTGAGCCCAAGGGGGGTCGCTGAGAGAGCAGCGGTGAGCAGCAGGTGCTGGGTCCCCAGACCAATCGTCTTAGTGCTTAGATGTGACTCAGACAATCCCCAGAAGCTAGTAAGAACTCGATGAGTCTGTAGATCTGGAAACAGACACCAAAGCAGCTGCTAGGCAGCCTCCTGTCAGTGCCCTCTGCTGGCTGTGCCAGGACCTGCAGTCATGGCAGCCTTGGACACTGGGTCCTCACAGCCCAGCTTGGGCTAGGACAATAGCATTCCTTTTTAATGACTGCTGTCCTTCTTAATAACAGTGTCTGACTTCGAGGTGAAAAGGAGCAAGACCGAGTTCACCATCCCAAGCCAGAATCTGCAGAATATTTTACATGAACACTTTTTTTTAAAAATCCCCTCTTACAATCTTCCTATTCACTCAGTCAGCTTCAGCTCCCAACTTAAGGAGATGGAGGCAGCATGGCCACGTTTTCAGCTGTGCCACTTGTGTCCTCTGGTTTTGAACAACCACTGACATACACAGTTCCCTGCCCAGCCTGGGAACCCCGTCATCTGGATGGGGACCACTTGGGACTCATCTTTGCGCCACCCGCCCTCCTGGGCTTAGCTGCTTGGCACTGAGTTTCAGATTCTGAGCACAAAGGGCAGGAGTGCACCAGGCACAGCGGTGTCCTCCTGTGGGGGGTGGGGCTGGGAGAGGGCAGGTCAACAGATGACTCCAGGTCCCCTGGGCAGGAAAACCTAGGTTGTTGACACCTTGTCCCAGCGGGGGAACATGCCATCCTGCTGGACTTGGCGGATGGGAAGGTTTGGGTTTGGCGGGGGGGATCTTTGCTAAGCTGCCTGGGTAACTGACTCTTAGGAAGTTTCTGAGATCTATGACCCTTGTGGGGGAGACACAGGGGGATGAGGTAACTTCCATAGTCCTGGCACCAACATGGGGCACAGCTGGGCCATGCATCCTGGATGGCTGCCCAGCCGTGTGCTGGTTTCCAGCCAGGGTTAGGAAGCACGTTTTTAGAGATTCTGTTGTTCCTGCAGGCTCTCGGTGGCTAACCATCCAGGGTGTTAAAAATACAGACACAGACATTACAAGCCATAGAAAATGAAGAACACTGTATTAATGTTTATTTCTAGTTACAAGAAACAGAACATCAGTCCCTTATTTGTACAAAAATACCTGAACGTTTACAGTTAGGTTCACGAGCCAGAGAGCTATGTACAGAATGAAGCGGAGCACGCGGGTAAAGGTTTTGTCTCCTCATCAACACCTTCTGCAGTCCCTGAACTGATGACACACAGGGTGACACTGCCACATCACAAATCTATAAGGAGCTAGTCCCAGCCCGCAAGGCGCAGCGATGGGTCAGACTGTCAGGTGTCAAGTGCAGAAAGGAGAGGACAAAACACCTAAGCTGAGGCACATGTTTCTTCAAGGTTTAGCAAACAAAAAGAAGATTCTGGAACTCTAACAACACCCAAAGCATTTGGCGTTTTCCTTCTCGACTTAATCCAGGTTGCTACAATGGAGTTTCCATTCAGAAAATAAAATCACAGGCAGAGAAAAAGGTCAACAGGCTCCACAACAACCCTGAGCTGTCCCCTTTACATTCACGTCAATTAAATACAAAAATAAAAGTCAAATGTCCTTCCGTCCCAGCCCGGGGGCATATGCCACCACAGGCACAAGGGACTTGCTGTTTCCAGGTGGGATTCCCAGCCAGGGGCCGCGAGAAGTCTGCTGCACGCGGGCAGGGCGGTCTACACTCTCCACAATTCACTACGCTGGGGAGGTACAAAAGACTACGTCAAACCAGCTACATACAAAATCGTGAGTCAGAGCCAAGCTTTGTTCTTCTTTTAAATAGAACGCACACTTATAAATATGAAATACTGCACATCCTAGCTGTCCGTCAGGGAGCGGCATGAGGGAGGGGTTTGGCGCTGTTGCGTTGTCTACAGAAACAGAGCAAAGAAACCCTAGAGTTGTCTGTAAAGGTTTTGCCAGCTGGTGGGGATGGAGACAGCTCTCCCCAGGGTGGGGTCAGTGAGGGAAAGAAGGGTCTGGTGGGGAACGAGACAGCCCTCCCAGAGTGGGGTCAGCGGCAGCAGCCGCCAGCCACTAACTTGACAATCACCCCGTTGTCAATTGTTCCAAAGATTAACTGGGTGCAAAAGGAAGAAGAGGCCACTGAGCATTTATGGTTAAAAATAACACTTTGCTACAAAAGTCTTCATTTCAGTGAGTAGGCATTTCATGGAAACAACAGGAGCGTGCTCTGGGAACTACAGTCCAGCGTTTCCATACCATGGACGGGCGGCAGCCAGCCTGTCTCAGCACAGCTCTCCCATGTCTGTGCTCACCCACACACATCAACCAGAGGTCCAGGACGTGCTGTGGAAGGGAGCTGGGGTGAGCCAGTGGCTAGCACGGGCTCAGCAGAGCCGGTCAGGTGTCACCTTGGGCAAGGTAGTCACTCTATTCACCCCAGTGGTGTGGGGGCTTGTCAGGGCTGTCCCTTCTGCTCTGTGGCAGTCAAAGGTACAGAAATAGCCCCTCTCACACTTTAAGACAAGGCCAGGGGAGGAGCGGACCCAGTGACAACTTGAGCCTCTGACTGACTCATCTCCCAGAGTGGGAAGCAAGTGAGTTGTTGCTACCACTGGCCAGCACCCACAGCCACTGAGGCATTACTGCCCACGTCCACAGGCTCACAGGACAGAGGCCACTGACCTTGGAAAGCCAGCCCAAGCCTGTGCCCTCTGCAACGGCTCTGTCTTCACCGCCATGGAAACCCACGGAGCACAGCAGAAAGCTACCTGGTGCCATTTTCTCTGCAGCTTCTTTAACCTCCTAAGGGGGATCAGCCACAGGACGACTCACACCACCGCAAGGGGGTAAGGCAGTGACTGTTCTAGAACAGGCTGGTGGCTGGGAAAATGCGAGGCTGAGATTTCCCCAGACGGACTGCGCAACAGGCTGGGCGCATCCCGAGAAGGCCAGCCTGTGCTAAGCTGGAGGGCATCGCCCAGCCCTGCTGTGCTGGGGCACAGTGAGTTTTCCAAAGAAACAGAGTCCACGGCACGTGGAGAACGAGACACGCTGACAACAACAGGACGGGACACCTGTGCACAGAGCAATGGCTAATGACAGACCAGTCCACGAAACATGCCAAACGCCTACCACAGGTGACACCTTGTATATTTAAAAACAAAGCTTTTCAAGTATACTGGGAAGGGCTGGGGTAGGGGCAGGGGGTGTTTGTAATCTGGGAGCTGAATCCATGTTGTGGCAATCTAGAGAGGGCGTAGCTACCTATGGGAACACTGGGGCACCCACGGTCAGTCTGACGCCCACCCCCACTCGCAACTCTGCTCATCTGACACAGGCTGACCAGCTACGTCCCTCCTACACAAAGGCTGACCAGCCACGTCCCTCCTGCCAGAGGCTGAATACAACACTGACAACACAGAAGGAGTGCAAAAAAGTGATCAATACAAAAAAAGTAAACATATCAGTTTTAATTGTCAAGATTACTCCAGGGCAAGAGTTCGTTTCCAATTCCTTCTCTCCGGTTCTTGTTCTGATGTGGCCCAGCCAAGATGATCTTTCCAGTTTATTTTTCCAACTTGCGCTGGATTTCTCAGGCCCTTTCTGATTTGGATGATAACAAAGGGCCATGGTCCCGCCAGGTGTGCGGCAGGAAAATGTCAATTCAACAAACAAGTCCCTCCTGGTTGGCTGGTACCGGAGGAACCATCTGATGGTACAGAAATATTCTCAATACACGCGCAGACCTCTTCCTCGTTCCAGTGTGAACGGCCTCCAGGTGGGAGGTCATAAGGCCACTCGGATGCAGTGGTGCTTGAGTTTGCAAGGCAGGACCCCTTTGTTCAGCTGGTAGAAGTCAACCAGCTGGATCAGGTCGGAGAACCTGGTGTTGCCGTCATCCAGGCTGAGGAAGGTCTGCCCATCATCCTCACACTGTAGAGACACAAGTGTACACCCACCTATCAGAGACCACAATCTTGTGGGAGAAGTCAGGATGTGGCCAGCATCAGCTCATGGCTGGATTCCCAGGGGACACCCACAGAGCTCACCAGGTAGGCCAGAAAATGCTGGAGGGGTCACTTGGCCAGTGACGATGGGGGAGTTGCTAAGGCCACTAGGCCTGGGGGCTGACTCCACTGTGACAATCAAGTTTCCCAGTTAAGCTGTAAGTATCCACTGTGCACAGCATGCCCTGTTCAAGTATAGCCAGGCCTGGGTCCTCCCTACGGACCAGGCAACTTTGCCATGTTCCCAGGTTCACTTTGCCTCCCTGTGACACTAGGGGATTAGCATGAAGCAGCCTCCCCAGGACCTGTAAGATATTTACTAAAATGGAGGAACTGCACTCCTAGCTTGTTTTAACTTGGCAACTGCAGCATGAAGCAGAATGGGAGAGCCCTTGTGGCCTGGAGAAGGGAAGCACCTGTTGACTCCAGAGACTGCAAAGCCTGCAGTGATGGCTGTAGCCTGTCTGCCAGCAGAGGGCCACCATCTTGCCCCAAGGTACTTGTAGGATTTGGGGTTATTTTGGGAGCATGGTAGAACATGCTGTGACCACCCTGAAATACTGATGTTAACACAGTTGTAACATCTGGGTCAGTAATGTAATGTGAGAGAAAGGAAAGCCTCATGCACAGTCCTCTCTATGAATGACAACTCCTGTGTTTGCCTGAAATGTGTGGTGGGAGCCCAGGCTCCAGCTAGTGCAGCACAAGGCAAGCTGCTGAGAGCCACCAGCCTCACTTTCCCCCTCTATAAGATGGGAGTGGTCAGAAAACAGCAGAGGCCCACAAGTATACCACCTGCTGTGTGCACACTTCACCTCTCCCTGCTTCACAAAAGCTGGCCAGGACTCCCACCTCAGCCTTCCTACTCCCCAGCTTTCTGGCACAGCACAGTCCTAGAGACAATCCTCAAAGGCCCTAGTGGTCAGGTTACATGTGGGAGATGCCCATGACCAACAGCATGAAACAGATGCACGTAGTTACTGGGCGTGCAGACCCAATCTCTGAAGAAATTCTGGCCATTCTCCCTTGATAGAATACTTCCTGGGATGATTCCACAGGAAACATTTCATATGGGTTAATACCCACAGAACCGATCACTGCACTATGGAAAACACTTGGTACTAATTGTGTGTGTCACACACCAACCCAAGTGGGTTCTCAGAGGAGCTGACACAACCAGGCAACGAACCTGAACTGTGGCACACTGAAGGGAGGGCTGGACCACATCCCCCAAATCTAACAAAGATGACTGTATGAGAACAAAGTGCTGGTAGGTAGGTTCTGCAGCAATGTTGCAATGTTCTGCAGTTACTCAAAGGTGAAATCCATTGGTCATCCATGGACCATATAGCCAGAGCAACACAATTTCTCCTTAGAGGGCTACTTGACCTGGGTTTTTCTGGAGCCTTCTTGAGTAGCCTGGCACAGACCAGAAAACTTAAGACTCCCCACTGAGTGGGTCCTGTGCTTTGGGCTCCAAGCTCATGGCCACTGGCCCTCAGCTTACAGATCTCCACATCTACCTGTCTGATTTTGGTTACAAATGTGTGTGGGAGGGCCTCATGCAGGGTCACCACATTCAGGGAGACACTTTCCCAATTTCAAAGACCAAACCTTTCAAGGAAATCTAGAGTCTCTCACCTGGGATTCTGGAACTCTGCTACTTAATGCTCCACAGCCTTGCTGGTTTCTAACCCAAACTGTATCGAGAGGGAGACCAGAGCACAAAACACAGGGAACTTGGATGAAAGCATCATTACTTACAGGTAAGATCTGGAAGTTTTTAATTTTCTGGTGATGACACAGTGTGAGTACAAATGCCTTTGGGTTACTCTGGCTGTCACGAAGCAGGAAAAGCCTGGGAAATGAAAAACAATCCATGATGGTCAGCAGTTTTACACATTCATTTCATACATGTGAAGTCACCACACACGTGAACCCATCACACATGCACACGCTCCTGGCCCCATCTGCCAGCATGGGCTTTGAGGCCAGAAGCTGGAGCACTGGCACCCGATGGGCCTTTGGTGTCAGTAGCCTGAAAATGCTGTCCTCCCTGAAAGGAACCTGGCCCCCGTGGAAGGGGTGACTCTAGGGCCGAGGCAGGGAAACTGCAGGATCAGGAGGAGCACTTTGGGTCAGAAAGTTTGAACAACTTAAGAGAACCATTGGGGCAACATGAAACCACAAATGTAAAGGATTAAAACCCATAAAACAGCTCACACAAGGAGCATAAAGAAAAAGCTCTTCCTCAGGAGAATGTCAGCTAAAGAAACAGAGAAGATGGGTTAGAAAGCACCAATGATGCATGGCAGGTGATGTCAGAGATGAGGCAGGGGTGAGAAGGGCGTGGCTTGGGTCAGCAAGAGTGCTGGTGCCACTTAGCTTCACGATGCTGGGACTGGGAAATTTGCCTTCTCAGCCATGGCTGCTGCATCAGCAACAGGCACTGACATGCAGGATTCTGTAAGACAACGGCTGATGTGCTACAGCAATGCCAGGCTTGGTAGCTTCAAACACCAGACATCACAGTTGGCCAATGGCAGCAGCACAGTGATGTGGAAGAGAACTACAATTACAGGGAAAGGCACAACGAGGCACTAAGCCTGTGGAGCAACTGCTGCCTAGCTCAGGAAATCAAGGACACAGCCTGGGAAGATGCTGGCAGGGACCGCGGCTCACTGGTCCATTCGGAAAGGAATGAAGAGCTGCTGTGCCAGGCACCAAGAACAGCCAGCATGACCTTGGGGAGGGAGGGGAGTCGAGACTGAGGGCCGAGAAGAGACAGCTCCATATTCCAGCCAGGTATTGAGCAGTGTTGGAACAATTTTACAGCCACAAGGAAAAAAAAATGAGCTCCATTCTTGACACTGTACACAAAGACTGATTCCAAACGCATCTGAAATCTAAACAAAAGCAAAAATGAACAATCAAGGAAGGTGAGATGTAAGAGATGGAAACAAGTGCTAGAAAACAACAGGCCCACCTCCATCATGACTTGGGAGAAGAGCAAAAGTGCTACAACTTTACAAAGCAGAAAAACAGAAGTTGCCAAGAGACAGCCAAGAATCACATAGAGACACTGTAGCACCCTGACACATGGATGGAGCATAGCCTCCCTCTGAAGAGCTGTACTCACATACTTGTGTTGACTCTGCAACACACACCTGGCTGAGGGGACCCTGGAACACTTCACAGTGTGACAGAAGCCTTTACCATCTGACACTGCTCAGAAGTCACCAGGAAAATGACAAAACGCTACAGTGCTGAGTGAGAAAAGTGATGTTCTCTGTACTGAAAAGAAGCATGGAGCGTCCCCACTTGCTGCCTGGGCTTTGGAGTCAGAGAACAGTAACATCAAGGAAGTAAGAACCCTGTACCCTCAAACTTGAACTGGTGATAGAGATGTGCAGCCCAGTGTGCTTTGTGCTTTGAAAAAGCTCATGTCCTAGCTCCGCCCACAAAGAAGAAGTGGGGCAGCCCAGACTCCATTTTCCATCAGAAAGAACCAGGTATCCCAGGAAAACTGACATTTGGGCCTTCAATACATTATGCCACACCTGAAATCAAACATGTTGAGTTTTGGGTCAAAAGGACTCAGGAACCAATCCAAAAAAGGCCCTGGTGGCCAATGAGAATAAGCTTTGACTGAAATAAGCCTGAGTGCATTCAGTTGTTCAAACACCCTCATCTGTCACTAGTAAGCGATTGCAGGGTACCAACCTGTTATTTAGAAAACTGACAAGGGGAAAGCCATATGTTCAGCTACCTTTTCCAGCAAACCAAATATTGGATGAGTGGAAGAGGTTTAGCCACTAAGTGATGAAGGAATAACTAGAAAATAATCGTTTGGGAATTGGTAACAAAATATTGAACCTGGGCAAGGTCACCAATGGCTGCTGAAACAGGTGATTTGGGCCTGGGGACCACACCAGGGAAGGCCCAGGCTTCAGCACTGGAAGCTCCTCTCCAGCACCACCGAGTGACAGCCAGACTTACCACACTGCCTGTGCAGGCACAGGGCTGTGCATCTCCCTGGAGACCACTTTCCAGGAGCAAGGGAAACCACAAGTACACAATCGGCAAACAACCACCTCTTCAAAAAGTGATGAGGGAAACTACTCAAGGAGACTTAAGTGATAAATGAGGAGGTATGCATAGCATTTGGTTGATGTAAGTGGATTAAGTGGATTTAAGGATCTTTTGGAAGGTGACAGAGAAATTTGAACATGGGTTGGATTTTAGCTGAAATAAGGAATTCTTGTTTATTTTATTGATTATAATAGTGATATCATTACATCTATAAGGATAGAAAGGGTCTTTTTTTTTTTTTTGAGACAGAAACTGAAATATTTGCTGGTAGAAATTTGGGCTGGGGTTCCTTTAGGAGGAGTAAAGACAGGAACAGAAACCTGCAAACCTTCCTTCTGGGCAATGACTGAAGTGGAGCTCATTTCATTGTCCTCTAGGTAAACTATAAAATTTAAAATTAGAAAATTCCCATAGTAGAAATTTTTGGAATAGGCATGATAAAAGGACTAATTGGTGGATGTAGCAGCTTCCTCTGACCAGGGAGTGGCCCAGGGCACACACCTTACTGGGAAGGGCAGCCTCTTGGCACCTGGGAGCAAGGTTGTAGGGGGTGCCAGGGCATTTGGCAGGGCCTTGCAGTGTGAGCTGTGGGAGCCATCCCTGCATCACAGCCTGGGCTCTCCCTTCTAAGTCCTGGCCAGTATAGTCTGGGATGAGCCTTGGCCCTTGGGACAGAGACCTGAGAATGGCTTGTGCAGGAGACCCAACCCTTTCACTGGGTGCCCCCATGAGGCCCTGATAGGAACAACACAGCCCAGCCCACAGGGGCTTCAGACAGGTGGGACGCCTGTGTCAGATACCACGTGCCATGGTGGTTCTGGGTGGGGGCTGTCTCAGCACGGAGCTAACCGCCAAGTGAATAATTCAACAGTGTGAGGCACAGGAGCCTGTCTGCTATCTGTTTGGGGCTCTAGTGGGACAAACACAGCTGGAATCTCTTCCTGGCATACCATGGACATCTCCACACCCCCACTTCTTCCTCTGGAAGATGAGCCCAACAGCTCCTTACCCATCCACAAGCCCTTGCTGCTTGATGATCCTGTGGGACTCCTCCCTGGAGATCCTCCCATGGAACCAGTGCTGGGTCCTGTGGATCACTGTGGGCCAGGGGAAAGGGATGGAGTCAGAGCACCCCTGCATGCAGCTGCCAAGGAGCCCAGCCCGGAAGCACTGGAAAGCCCAGGCCAGCTGGCAACCTGAGGAGGCCAAGGGAGGGGTGGAGGTATGTGGTCCCTGCTTACCGGTGCTGAAGGAGTTAGGGTGGAGGGGACTTTGGCTAGATAAGATGTTCATCCGAGTGCTTCTCTTCTGCAAAAACAAACCCCAAGGTTAGCACGGAAGATGGTGGCAAACCCACAGCACCTGGCATGGCCAACCTAAGGTGAGCTTGGCCTTCATCACTCTTGAAGCCCCTACCTGACCACTGAGGATGGTGGGCTCAGGGTTCCCAGGTGTTAGAAACAAAATGAGCTGGTATGTTTCTAGCCTTTCTGGGACTGATGGAAACACACAACCAGCATGGCCTACAAGACAGGCTCCATCTAGGAGATGAGCAGCAGCCCTCGGGGCTTGGCTGCCTTCCCCACAGCCTATTCAATGTTTGCCGATAGCCTGGGACAGTTTGTGAGCAGAGGTGTGCATAGAGCCAAGCAGAGCAAAGATCTGCGTCTTTCATGCCCCTTCCAAGAGAGCCCGGGGACAGAGGCCATGGGCTGGCTGGCTGCTGGGAACATGGATTACTGAGAAGAGCCAACTGCATCCTGCAGCTAACTTGGGTGCCCCTTAACAGCTCACTCCTGCCAACACCTGCAGAGCCATTGTGCTGGGAGACTGAGTGGAGGGGAGGTCACCCGCCAGGGAGTCTCTCAGGGGGACAGGGCTGCAGCTTACCCTCCAGGCATGGCCCTCCTCCAGGGCAGCACTCTGGGCTTCAGCTGGATTCTCAATGACTCTTCCTGTTTGCCCAGAAAAATCCATTGCCACAAGAGAGTTCTCAGAGACACTGCGCTAGAAAGGAAAAGCCACACATTCTCAGCACATGGAACTAAACCACCATCTAGGGGCCAGGGAAGGCCTCTCTGCCAGTGCCTCCAAGCTCCCTGAGTTTTGAAAGTTCACTGATGCTGGCTGAAAACTCACTGACCAGAGATCTTTTGGGATAAACATGACTTTGGTTTTTCTTAACATGAACAGTAAGCATTTGGATTTTCTTACAGTATTCAAAGGCTGTTGGGGAAGCCTCCCATACCAGCAGGTTCTGGGGCATGCCACTGTTCTCAGGCTCCCCAACTTGCACTAAAATATATGGAAGAAACCTAAGCACCAACGGCAGCTGCCTCAGCTGTGGGAAACACTGCACTCTCCTCTGTGGCTCATCTGCTGACTCACGGGCACCAAGTCTGTAGGGTCTTAAGATGGTGTCTTGTGAGGGTGAAACATTCCTGCACCTTCTGGGGACACAAGGTACACTGAGGTCACTGAGAGTGCTCAGAGACTCTCCAAACCCTCACCAGGAACCACTGGACCCTTCAGTAACCCCCATGGATACTGCAGCTCCAAGGAGCAAAAGGCCAATGACAGGGAGGGCAGCCATCAACACCCCTCCCTGGACAGACATGCAGGGCAGGGAGTTGTGTGGGGAAGAATTCACTTAGTTATGCTAGAAAGACTAAACACCCACCTCCTGGGAAGCTGGTATGTCTGGGACACACCAGCTTCCCTTGGCTACCTGGTATGAAATCAGACACCAGCCAAATGTGCAGATGCAGAAGTGGCCAAACAACAGGACTCTGGGGGTTGCAGCCCCACTTACCACTGGTGTTGCAAAGGGTGCCAGCAAGGCCTTCCTCTGCTGAGGGATGCGATAGTTCTGGTACAGGAGCATTCCATACTGAGGAGGAAAAGGCAGAGTCAGTACCAGGGCCTTCCAAATGTCACAGCAGGGACAGGTAATGCTGAGCACAGAGAGTGAGCCCATGACACCTGGCACACTTCCCTCAGTTCTGCTGCTACTGGAGTTACTGGTTTTGGAATGGTCCAGAGGGGAGTGGGCAGGGCCGTGGCAGACACAGTAATACTAAGAACATCAACCAAGTCCTGTCTTAGGTGCTTTATGCTATAACTTCATTGAGTCCCCTCCAGTCACTCCTCCGTTTACTGGAATTTTCCATGTTTTACAGATAATGTAACCAAAGCACAGGAGTGAAGCAGGGTGCCCAGATTCTGGGAAGGACTCAGGACCTGAATGTACACAGCCTGTCCCACATCAGTGCTCTCCCTGATGACAAGGCTGACTTCCTGATCAGCTCTCTGCTTTTATCACCATGGGAATAAGGATGAAATATTCTGCAGAGTCTCTCACACATTCAGGTTCTCACGTTCTACTCCCAAATTAACCATTTCACCATCTTGACAAAGAATAAGAAAAGGAAGAAAGGCTGAGGTGAACAAAGCAGTTAGCAAGTTGTATGTGTCTTCCTCTTGACCTCCCTTCATGAACGCCAGCTCAGCCTGCAGTATATGCTCATTTCTAAAATAAAGATACTCAGAACACAATGAAAAATCTAATGTATGTATAGCTGCACTCCTGTGGAAAACTTCTGAAGAGATAATGGGCAAGAATTTTCCAAAGTCAATACACATTCTAGGAAGATAAGAAGCCTGTGCCCAGACACATCATGGATATGTTAATAAAATACAGAGGCAAAGGAAATGTGAAAAGCACCAGAGAAAAATAAACCTTACTCTCATGGAAGGGCAGACTGCTGACATTTTCACCTTAACAATGAGAGTTGAAGACAATGGAAGGGGTGACAAGGCATGAGGCAGTAACTGCTAACTTAGCTCTGGATGAGCACTGAAGTTTCTTCAGTAATAAAGGTGACATAAATGTTGAGGAAATTTCTTAGGCCCACACTAAGAATATACATCTAAGGTGAATTACAGTGTGAGTTAGAAGAATGCAAATTCAGATTGAAGTACAAATATGTAGGTAATAAAAAAAAACTGAGTATATCAAATAATCTTCAGAGGTCTTAGATATATAAATAATATACATGCCAGAGACACTTCAAAAGGAAAGAAGACATTAAGTGAAGTGAAATTTCTTTAATCTGGCCTGAAAGTGGCAAAAACACTAAATTATATGTGATTTTATTAAGGTGAAATTTGTGTTGCAATGCTTAGGGTAACCACTGGAAATAGTAATTAAATATATAAGTAAGGGCTTAATAGAGAAGCAATTGATGAACCCAAACAATTAAGAGGAAGACAGAAGAGGTGGGACAAATGGGAAATGATAGATTCAGGTAGAAATTATCAATTTACCACATTAGATGACACAATTAATTCACAATACGTGCTCCAATAGGACTATCACAGTAAAAAAAATTATGTTGTATGTGTAAGAGACACATACTTAAAATGTAAGGACTCAGGAAAATATGGGCAAAGAAAAACTAAACCTGAATCAAAACAAAGCTGAGATAATGGCTATTGTCAGATAAATTAGAGAAGGCATTGCTAGAGCTGATGAAGCAGACCTCCTAATGACATGGGATTGATCAAGAAAATAGAAATATCCTAACCTTTGGTGGTCACCTAATAAAACACATACTTTAATATCCATATGGATGTGTATGTGGCCAGCTTTTGGTTTCCATGGTTCCAGGACCCCCATGGATAGCCAAGTCTGCAGATGGTCATATCCCCTATATAAAATGGTATAGTATTTTCATGGAATGAATGCAAACCCACTTGTATACTGTATATTATCTCTAGATTACTTGTAATGCCTACTACAATGCAAATGCTATGTAGTCACACCTGACTGTTTAGGTCATAATAACAAGAAAAGATGTATATGTTCAGTACAGATGCATGGGTTTTCAAAATATTTTTGATCCATGATTTGCTAAATCTGGATTCAGAGCCCCTGAGTACCCAGGGCCAATGTGTATGTGTTTCCATTACACACATACACACACGAATTAAACTTGCACAAAGAAAAGCTTGGCATGGATCCTGGGAGATGACTACAAGGTTCTAGGAATGTCTTATCTCACAGGTGTCCTGTGTTTCCCCAGAGATCATGCCAGGCCACACAGTCTAGACTAACTATGTGATTCATGATGGGGGCCTTGGGCCACACATGTCAGTTCTGGAGGGGAGGAGACCCAAGGTCAGCCATGCAGGTGATCAGTCTGTATGGCCAACTGCTGATGAAAACTGGATACCAAGGCTCAGGTGAGCTTCCTGTGTGTTGTAACATACACATTATTGCTGAGAGAAGCAAATGCTAGAAGTGGACAGCTGACTGTTCCTACTTGGTGCTCTTTGGGGCTCTACCCAGGCACCTTTTTCTGTAGTAAATTTTAATGTAAAGCCTTTCATTGAAAAAACTAGAATCATTGGGACCAGCACTGTGGTCCAGTGGGTAAAGCCACTGTCTGCAGTGATGGCATCCCAAATGGGCACTAGTTTGAGTCCCAGTTGCTCCAGTTCTGATTCAGCTCCCTGCTAACAGCCTGGGAAAGCAGTAGATGATGGTCCAAGTTCTTGGGTAAGATTTCAAAAAATGTTGCACCGAAATAAACAGATCACTTAACTGCACTCCTCACAAGTGTTTCCAGGTCCCTCTGCACACTGCCACTTAGCTCTCAGACTTACCTGCATGATTGCATCCCACAAAAGCACTGTCAAGGGCATCAGCCCAATGGTCATCATCATACACACGGTCAGTGTATCCTAGGAGCCTCCTTCCCCCCAGAGCAGTACCCCCAGGGAAGCTGCAGGTCTGCTTGGCCATGAGGGTCACTAACCACCCCCCTCACTCTGCTCTCTCCCTGTCCTTACTTTGCTGACCCTGCCCCTGCAACCCAGTGGTTCTCAACTCGCAGCAACTGCCTCCCCCACCCCCACACCTGCCATCGTCTGGGGGTGCTTTGGTTGTCCCACATAGTTAAGGTGCTGCCAGTGTGACACACAGTATACCCCTACGTCTGACAAAGGACTGTTCAGCCCCAAACAGCAGCCATGCTGAGGCTGAAAACCCAGTTTTGCCCTTTTCCACATTCAGCCCTGCCGGAAGCCCCTGCCATCTTGTGTGGAGAGCTGTGTGGCTACGCTTGACCAATACAAGCTACCAGCATTTGTGTGACACAACAGAGCCCATGCCAGCTGCAGATCCCCAGGCAGAGACGCTGCCAGTACCTTAAGGAGACGGAACGCAGTCATCCAGCATATGCGGCTTTGCTCATCCTCTGCACACAGCAGTCGCAGTTCCTTGATTTCATTCCTCACTTTGTTTGGCTAAAGGAGGTCAAAGAAAATCCACTGAGCAGGGCACGGTGAGTCAGGGAGGGGACCTGGGAGGCACATGTGCCCTGGGGAGGGGGCACCTGTCCACCTGCCCAGCAAGCCCTTCACAGCTTCCATCCAGGACTGGCTCTGGCCCAGGGGAGGTGATGGAATGTCAGAGAAAATCAGGGAGCAGGACAGGACAGGACAGGACAGGATGGGGTAACAGGAGAGGAAAAGCTGGGTTCCATGGGAGGAGAACCTGCCTCGGTTACAGAAGGGAAAGCCTTTGGAGGTACTGCCTGCACGGGCCTGAGTGGGCAGCTAGGCCTGGCCTCATGGGCTGTGGAGTGTGTGGGCAGCACCAGACTGGGTCCCAAGTGGAAGGTCTATGGTGTGCAATGTCACCCGAAGAAGGTGGGGTTGTGGGTATGGAGGGAAGACAGATGTCCCGGCAGAGGCAGAGCTGTGTGACCAGGCAGGAGACTGTTGCAGATATCAGCTGAGTGGGACTTCCACGTGAACCCTGACCTGGATGCAAGGGGCAGTGCTGGGGAGGACTCCGCTCAGCCTTCCACCTCAGTAAGCCAGAGAGCAGCTGGACACGAGCAGCTGCCCCTGCAGGAGAAGCAGTGCAGCCGGTGCGGCACGGGCTGGCGCTTCCTGGCACCTGCAGCTGCTCTGGTGGCTGTCTTGAAGTAGATGTCTGTTACTTCAGCTCCCTTAACCTCAGGGTTCACCCTAAGAAACCCTGCACATGCCCTGTTTTTCCTATCTGCACATGCCCAGGATGAAGTTTAGTCATAAATAAGGCACAGAGGGCCCTTAGGGACAATTCTGTAACAACACATTGTGATAAGCTGCATGTCAATGTCTGTCTCTCTGGAAATAGCCCCTTGTAATTTCACCTTTTCCTCTGCGAGGAGCAGGTTACAGCTTCTCTCTGGCCACCCACATTGCCAGCAGTGGGGCTACACTTGCACCAGGCGTCACTTGAATTCGGGCCCAGAGACACTGCAACAGCCGATCCAGTAACTTGGAAGGCTGCTCAGTGACTGGCAGGTGGCACCAGTGTGGACCCGCCAGACCAGGGAGTGATTCACATCCAGGGTGTTCAGCACTCTGAGCGGTGCACGACATAAAACTAACACATGGCTTACTTCTAGAACTTTCTATTCTGGACCATGGCTGACTGCAAGTGACCGGAACTATGGAAAGTGAAGCCATGGACAAGGGGACGGCTGTGCTCGAGTGGTGCGAGGTGCAGTCATAGGATGGAATTCACTCCCTGTTTCAGCCCAGGCCCAGGTCTGTCCCCTGGGGGTGGAGCCTGAGCTCTGGCTGAGGTTGGCTGCTGGGGGGAGCTCTCAGCACAACTGCTCTCTGGCTACTTGATGTGGGCAACATGGCTGATGAGTTCCTACTCCACAGAATCCGGAGATGAGATGAGGTAACTGATCTAACTGTGAGCAGGACAGCTGAGCCATGGAAGTATTCGGCGAAATCATCCGACAATGTGATCATCAACATGCCACAACCGCACGAGGAGAAGGGCAGCGACCAGCCACAGGGGTGTGTGTGTGTGTGTGTGTGTGTGCGCGCGTGTCTGCATGCATATGTGAACCAGGGGTCTTCAAGTTCATGGAAAATGCTGATTATGAAACACCTATGTACTGACTTAAAAACATTTGCAGCAAAATAAACTTTTCAATCCCCTTTTCAGGATCTTTTTGAAGTTCCCTTGTGTGTTTGTGTATGTGTGCACAGATGTTTGCACATGTTTAAGGTGTGCACAGTGGACAGATGCATGTGCCCAGGCACAACGCATGCTTTTATAGGAATGGATAACTACAATGTGAACCTGTGTTTCTGTTGAAAGCAAACAAAGCACAGACACACCTGGGGGACTCCCCTGTGGCCGACCCGGGGTGGAGGGCGTATCTTCATGCAGAGCCCGGGTCCATGGGAGGGTGGGGTGTGGGTACCTTGATGCAGAGCCCGGGTCCATGGGAGGGTGGGGTGTGGGTACCTTGATGCAGAGCCCGGGTCCGTGGGAGGGTGGGGTATGGGTACCTTTATACAGAGCCCATGGTCCGTGGGAGGGTGGGGTATGGGTACCTTGATGCAGAGCCCGTGGTCCGTGGGAGGGTGGGGTATGGGTACCTTTATACAGAGCCCGTGGTCCGTGGGAGGGTGGGGTGTGGGTACCTTGATGCAGAGCCCGGGTCCGTGGGAGGGTGGGGTGTGGGTACCTTGATGCAGAGCCCGTGGTCCGTGGGAGGGTGGGGTGTGGGTACCTTGATGCAGAGCCCGTGGTCCGTGGGTGGGTAGGGGGTACCTTTATGCAGAGCCCGGGTCCGTGGGTGGGTGAGGGGTACCTTTATGCAGAGCCCGTGGTCCGTGGGTGCACTGTACTGCTTCTTCCCAGAAATCAGGGAGAAGATGTTGCTCTCCTCCAGGTCAGCAAGCAGCTGCAGGTGCCTGGGTTCCTGTGGAGATGCAGCCAGACCTCAGTCTGAGCACAAGCCTCTGTCCCTCGTCTCGGCTACCGGCAGGAGAGGCCTGGGCACATCGCACTCCTCCCCAGCAGACACCTTAGGGCTAGGACCATGGTGTGAAATACGTGCTAACTTACAGCTAACTCATCCAGCCTTCCTGTAAGAAAACCACCTCCCAGCACCTGTGACTGCTGGGGTGGGAAGTCCTGCAGCAGAAGGCGGTGTGTCAGTCAACCAGAGCCTCATAGAGGATGGGGCCATGAGGCTGCCAAGGAGCCGGAAGGTTCCCACCACCCAGCGGTGTCACAGCCGCCCTAACACTGTGGCGTGTGCGCTTGTGGCGGTGCTGGTGTTGGCTTACCCGCTGTGCTGCAGGTGCACAGAACAGCACACACACAGGACACGGACCTCGACAAGGTGCAACCACAACTAGGCCCCCGGTCCATGCAGTTGCTGCGCTCCATTTTTACTGTTTTTTACAGGGTGCTCATTTCTAGCTACAACAAAGCTTCAGGTAGGTCTTCAGGCATTGCTGTCACAGGAGGTGACCCTGTGTGGGCCCAGGCTCATGCATGTGGATGTGTCTTCGTTTTTCTTTTAAGTATAAAGTGTTTAAAAAAATGAAAAATACCAAAAGTCGAAAAAAGCTTATAAAATAAGGAACTACAGAAAGAAAACATTTTTGAACAACTAATACGTTTGTGTATAAGCTAAATTTAATACAAAAGAGTCAAAACGTTAAAAATCAGAAAGTAAAAAAGTTACAGTAAACCAAGGCTGAGTTATGAAGAAAGGGTTTTTTGGAAGTGTAGTGCAGCCCCTGTGTGCACTGTCAAGACCGCCAAGTCCAGGGGTGGCTCCCAGGCCTTCACACGGCACAGCGAGCCCCGTGCCACAAGCTCCCCCCGTGGTATGTCCTGTCTCTTACCTGTCACACCACGGTTGCGCTGTACCTTTTCAGTGGGCAGTACACAGGTACCACCCAGCACCGTCAGCACTGTACAGGTCACACAGCCTAGGCGCACAGCAGGTTTTCCCATCGAGGGTTCTGTAAGTGCCTCGATGTCCACTTACAGTGTCCACTTGAGGACATGTGCACAGTGACTCAGAGGTACATGTCTGTATTTGATACTTCTGCCAATTCAAAGCCCTGTGGCCAGGCCAGTGCTGTGGCCTAGCTGGTAAAGCCGCAGCCTGCAGTGCCGGCATCCCATATGGGCGCCTGTTCAAGTCCCAGCTGCTCCACTTCTAATCCAGCTCTCTGCTATGGCCTGGGAAAGCAGTAGAAGATGGCCCAAGTGTTTGGGCCCCTGTGCCCACGTGGGAGATCAGGAAGAAGCTCCTGGCTCCTGGCTTCAGATCGGCACAGCTCTGGCCATTGCAGCCATTTGGGGAGTGAACCAGCAGATAGAAGACCCCTCTCGCTCTGCCTCTGCCTCTCTGAAACTCTGCCTTTCAAATAAATAAATAAATCTTAAACATAAAAAGAAAGCTCTGTGATCAAATATTCAAGGTAAAAGCTTGAATATTGAAACTTGACCCAAAGGGCACAGTTATGAGCACATTTTAAACACAGGCTCACGCCCCCTTTCGTTTGTTCTGTGTTCAGCATCCAGTTGTGCCTCCAGTTCTCCCTGACAGCTCGTCCCAGCCTCCCCAGCCCAGCTGTGTTCCCCACTCCAGGCCCCCTGTCTGCGGCTGCAGTGGGAGCTGTGTGCAGGTCAGGGCGGGCCGGCAGCAGGCTGCCCTTCCCCGCTCCTGTGAGGTCACAGCCTGCCGCTTGGCACACTCGCCTGGGCCCCCAATCCCAGCAAGAGCAGAAGAGACGGTGGCAGCTCTTAGAAGGGGGAGCTCAGCCAGGGCTGGCTGGACACAGCTCCCGCTACACAGAGTGGTCACAAGAGACAGCAGCTGAGGGTGTCCAGAGACCACAGGAGACCTGGCTAAGTCCCCAGTCCATCAGCTCTCCTCTGAGGCCTGCATCTGGTTCCCATCTCTCACCTTCTCTTACCACCGGGGCCACACACCACACTGAAACTCACTCCAAAACACGCCTTTGAGAATGAACGTCGGGCCGCCGGTAGGGTGGCAGCAACCTCGCCGTCAGCCTGCGGCTGCCTTGAATCCCAGGGAAACCAGAAGGCTGTGTTCCCAGCCACAGCAGAGCCTTGCAGGCCTGCGTGCCCACCTGCTTCGAGGTAGACCAGTAGACTGGTGCCTCTGCATTTAGCTGTAACACAGCGAGCGCATTCCTGAGTGCTCGCAAGTCTGAGAGGCTAAGGCACATTTTACCAGCACACCCACGCTCCCTGGGACCCTCCCAGCTGGGGGCGCCCGGGCAGAGGCCACACTCACTTTGGATGTTCCCTTAGTGGAGCAGTAGAGGCCAGACCGGCGCAGGCACACATACAGCCTCTTCCACGACTTTCTTCCCAGCTCCTTCACGTGCAGAAATCCTTGAATCTCAGGGCAGCTGCTGGCGTTCAGGAAGTTCTGCAGGGCGAGAAGGTGGGGGGTCGCATAACACTGAAACACCGGGAATGGGCACGTTAGCACAGCCGACATCCTAATACCGACTTCTTGGGGTCAAACCAAGAGTGTTCTTCTATCCAAAGTCTCAGCCCCGTGTCAGCCGGCACTGCCTAGAACACTACGGACCTTTCTAGCAGCGATGAACAGAGAGAACTTCCTCCCATGGCTGCGGCCCGAGAGTACCCTGCCCGTCCTACGTCTGCACGGACGCGTCAAGCCAACAGAGCGAGGCAGCAGCCAGGCCCAGCAGGGGCTGACCGGAGGCGCTGGGTTGGGAGCCGGTGTGTGGCTGAGCTTGAGCGGTGCCGTCCACTTGTACACGCGGACCCTTTGCTGACAGCTACTGATTGGCTAGCTCCTCCCAGGGCAGCCTTGAGAACAAGGCTCTCCCGCAGGACGGAAGGCAAGAGCCAGGCTCAGAGTCAAGTGTGGCGGTGACACTGCTGGGTCCTCGCCACTGGGCTGAGAAGGGAGGAATCTGTCTCCTGCAGCGGGACGGGCAGGCTGGGCAAAGCCCCGGCACGAGGCTCCCGGCCTTGCGAGTCTGTACAATCACGGCGTGGCCTCCCTAGGCGGAGCCCGTGGTCCGTGGGAGGGTGGGGTGAAGTGAAGGCAAGGAGGACGGTGAGTCCCCCTCTCACGGCCCCTCCCACACCCAGAGTGTTGACCACTCTGCCCCAGCAGGCTGAGGCTGTGGTCGGGGGCCGGGGGAAGACTCGACTTTCCAACGGCAGAGACAAACGTTGTCATCAACAAAGCAGGGGCGGAACTTCCCAGGAGCTAAATGTTCATGGTTTCTCTCGTGTCTGATGCCCGGCAGGCACTGGTGGGTGCCTTAAGGAAGGGTTTGCTTCCATGGCTCAAAGTGTCGCATACACAGTTTGAGGGGCACCACAGTACTGCCCCTTCCAACCCTAACGGGCCCCAGGGGCTCCCCCCAGTGGCAGGGAGGGGAAAGACCAGGCTCTCTTGGCACCGGCTTCAGAGGCTGAAAGACTCCTGCTTATTACTGTTTTTTTTTTTTTTTTTCTTTTCTTTTTTTTTTTTTTTTTTTGGGACAGGCAGAGTTAGACAGTGAGAGAGAGAGACAGAGAGAGAGTTATTAGACAGTGAGAGACAGAGAGAAAGTTTCCTTCCGTTGGTCACTCCCTAATGGCACACGGCCGGTGCTGGGCCGATCCAAAGCCAGGAGCTTCCTCCCGGTCTTCCATGTGGGTGCAGGGCCCAAGCACTTGGGCCATCCTCCACTGCACTCCCGGGCCACAGCAGAGAGCTGGACTGGAAGAGGAGCAACCGGGACTAGAACCCGGAGTGCCAGCGCCGCAGGCAGAGGATTAGCCAAGTGAGCCGCGGCACCAGCCTTATTATTATTTTTATTGACAACTTAGGATGCAAAGTACTCTGCTTTCAAACTTCTAAAACGTGAAAACGAGATGGCCTGGGTTATATAGTATGTGCGTGTTTGGGACTTTTTCTCTTTGAAATAAAAACCAGCTTCCCAAACTCCTCGCCGGGCACACTTCTGTCTGATGATCTCCTGGAGAGGCACCGAGTGGGCTCAGGGCTTCTGTTGAATGTACACACCAAGTCACTGTGAAAGGCCTTTGTGGGACCCGGCCACCGTCGCTGCAAGGCGGACCGGGTATCTGCAGTCTGAGCGGTCGGGCAGGGAGGTGTCGGGACCCACGCTCACAGAGACCTCGCTGCCGTGAGCTTCAGTGTCACGGCAAGTTGATCCCACGTCCGGCTGCTCTCCGGTAAACACGTACCTCGTTCCCCCGCCCCACGGGCAGCCCAGGCATGTGACGAGGCTGCCATCACGCCCCCCGCAGCCCCAGGAGAAACCGTCGCCCCCGTACCTGCAGCAGCTGCGTATGACTTCCATTGGACTGCTGGCACCAAGTGACCATTTGTTCCGGGAAGAAATTCTAAAGGAAAAGCAAATGGGTCAGGGGTTAGCCTCAACAGGGGGAAGCAGGTACAGCCGTCTTCTAATCGGCCCCACAGGAGTCCTCGCGTGCACATGTACCAGAACCGCCGTCCTGTGGCTCCTCGCTCCCACACAGAAAACCCCTCCTCCAGGAGCCTGAATTCGGTTTCCTTAAAGGGCAGCCCTGAGTCCTGAGTATCCACTACGCCCCTGCGGAGTTCAGGTCTCCTGGCGGGCTCTGCCGCAGGGGCAGGGTGTGGGTTCAGGGGAGCGGTAGGGATTCCAGAAGCTCGGCAGCGAGCAGTCTAGGGAGAAGTGTCCTCTTTCTCCCCACAAAGTTTCCAAGTTTGCTCCTGCTGAATGAAACAGCAGCTGAACCATCAGCCAGAGCGAGTCCGGGTCTTGTCCCCAAGCCGACCCGGGTGCTGCGACAGCCACAAGGCTCCCGCCAGGGGTCTCACAGCAGAGAAGAATCGGGCCAGTCAATCATACGATTCCTCCACCCCTCCTCGCCTGCGGACGGGGCGCTCGGAGCTGGGAACAGTGAGCTTCTCTCCAGCGGCACCGCTTTGTTCCAGGCGACCGAGGAACTCTGGGAAAGCCCCCCCCCCCATGGCCACCGTCTGGAGAGGCAGCCCACTGCGCCCCCCACCCAGTCATGAGGGCATCTGATTGAGCACCAAGGGCAGGCGTCGAGCAAAGTCTGCGGTGCGAAACAGCAACCCAGATGCTCGGGCCCACCTGCTGGGCCACAGGTCCCAGCAGCCTCTGTGTAACTGCGCTCCATGGAACCCCGACAGGAGCCCCAGGAGTCCCACACCTCAAACCCAAGGAGGCACGACTTACCACAGGGTTTCTGAAGAACTCGTATTTCGCATAATTCTTCCTGAACAGAAATTTGCCCTCACTTCCCATGGTGCCCTCCACCTGCACCACCAGCTCATGGTCTTCCAAGCACCGCTCTGCAGGGAGAAGGATGTGTATGAGCAGCTGGGTGAGGGCCAGGGCGGGCACTAAGCCGAACGCCAGGAATGCCGCTCCCCGCTCCCCGCCCCGGGCCCCAGGACGCGGGGTTCAGGCCGGTTCTACCCAGGGAATTGGGCAGAACTGGACCACCACCTGCATCCACACGGAAAAGACACCCTGGAAGCAAGGGATGAAGTTTGGGCAAAAGCATTCCTGAGCCAAAGCAGCTCGGAACGCAGGGGAAGACTCCACTGTCACCAGGGCGCTCGTCTCAGACGGCCACGCCGGCACCAGCAGCCGCGTCCGGAGCTGCTCTGCTCTCAGCCCCGCGCTCGGCAGTGGGGGGCCACGGCAGACCCAGCCCACCTGCCCTGGGCACGGCCCCGGCTGGGGGAACAAAGAGCACTCAGCACCTGCCATGCACCACAGGACCCTTGGGAGCCAAAGCCTGTACCCGCCACACGGACACAGCCTGCAAAGCTGTGAGCCAGTAAACGCCGCCTTCCCAAGCGGTGTCGGGCGTGCACGTGGACGGGGACAAGCATGCACAGCAGGGGCGCTGATATGCCTGTGTGGGCTCTGAAATGTGTGCTTTAAAAAAGCCCTTTGAGGGGCCGGCGCTGCGGCGTAGCGGGTAAAGCCGCCGCCTGCAGTGCCTGCATCCCATATGGGCACCGGTTCGAGACCTGGCTTCTCCTCTGCCGATCCAGCTCTCTGCTGCGGCCTGGGAAAGCAGAAGATGGCCCAAGTGCTTGGGCCCCTGCACCCGTGTGGGAGACCGGAAGAAGCTCCTGGCTCCTGGCTTCAGATCGGCTCAGCTCTGGCTATTGCCGGCAGCGCGCGCTGGCTCACTCTCTCGCTCGCTCGCGTTCTCTCTCTCTCTCTGCCTCTCCTTCTCTCTCTGTGTAATTCTGACTTTCAAGTACATAAATAAAATCTTTAAAAATAAAATCCCTCTGAAAGTTCCTTGGTTACTCTGTGTCAGAGCATGACATCCCTATCTGTAGTGCTATCCTGGCTGAAATGGACCTCCCAGGGACCCTCAGCGGCTGTGCCTTGAGCAGACAGGCAGGGGCGCCAGCCAAAGCCGGAGTCATCGGACCCCAGACCGAGGCACGCACGGGGAAGTTCCTGGGGTGGGAATGAGCACGCGGCTAGTGGCCGCGGAGGAGGCTCAGCTGTCACAGACAGGCTGGCCCTCAGCAGAGGTGGGCAGAAGCCAGCGAGAGGCCCAGCGGCTTACTTCTAAGAGCTGGGCAGGTCTCAGTCGGGGGTGGGGGAGGGGTTGATCCCCGGCTCCAGCATCTGATGCCAGCTTCCGGGGCAGACCCTGGAAGTCAGTAATGATGGCTCAAGTAATTGGACTTCGGCCATCCTTGTGGGAGACCTAGATTGAATGCTTGCTTCCTGGTGTCAGCCGTGGCTCAGCCCTGGCTCAGCCCCGGCACAGCCCCGGCCCTGCAGGCTTCTGGGGAGTGACATAGCAGCAGATGCTAACCCTCTCTTTCTGCCTCTCCAAAAAATGTTTAACAGAGACTGGATACGAAAGTACAGGGGTAGGAAGTAGAGCAACGACAAATTTCTACGGCGTCCTGCAGAGTTCAGTGTGAGGGCTCAGCTGGGAGAAGCTGTTGATAAACCAACACTCCAGTCTGCAGGGGGACGGGGGACGTGTGACCTGCCGGTCTTTCACGGCTCTCCAGAACTCAGGGCAATCCGCGCTGCTCTCCTCTCCCTCAAGACCTGGGAGCAGCAGAGCTGCCGACTCAGAACACTCTGGGTTTCAATATTTGGCGATGACTTTGTAAGCACCGTGCTGTTTCCAATAACTTAAGGAAAATCTAAAATGTTTGCCTGAAGCAGGCCACCAGAGCACACCAAATAAAATGCTTCCTGAGGTCTGGAAACAGCAAATGTTTTCAAGTATGTCTTTAAGGTCGTCTCTCGCTTTCTGGGCATCACACACATGCACACATCACACATACACACACTCACACCTACACTCACACACACCCAAACACCCCCAAATACGCCCATTCACACACCTATCCATAGCCACTCCCACATACACACCACTAGGGCTTTCCTAAGCAGCTCAGCAAGGGGTGCCACGACTCAGACACGGGTGAAATTGCTCTCTGATGCCGTGGGTCTCAGCACACGGCCACCGCTCTCTCCTCCCACGGGCACGGGCTACTGCAGTATGGTCTTGTGGGTGGCCAGCCTTCTCCAGGACCCTGGAGCCTCCCCTAAGCCACAGCCTACAGGTGTGCAGCAGTCCCACCGGGAGGGGCCCCAGGGAATTGCAGCTTCAATACCCAAGGCGAGACTCTCAGCACCGAGGGGGAGGGGAAAGGGCTGGGAGGGGGAGGGGGCAACATCCAGGGCACCCTGGCGGTCGCTCACTCGCCAGGGCTGCCGGGCCACACACGCGACGCAGGCAGGGGCCCTGCCAACCCGCCCAGGCTGCTCCCTACCGAGTCCCAGGTGTGGGTGGTGTTCCACCAGGGTCCAGCTGTTGTCATCCACGCAGTGACTCCTGTAAATCAGCAGCTGGCACAGGTCCCGGGCTGTCATGTCCGTCAGAATCTCCACCACTTTGCTTGTCCCATCCTCACTAAAGACCTTGACATCCTGTAACACACAAGGAGACACACGCAGGTCAACAGCTGTGGAAATGAAAATGAAATCAAACAGAAGACACGGACACAGTGCAACTCCTGCACACAGACAACTGCGTGTCCCAGCAGCTGGTCTCTGCTGGCTGCAGCGGTGCAGGACAAAGGCCTGTCCACCTCCGCTGGGCACCACAGGTAGGATTAGCACGTGACTCTTTCAGCCCACGGCCAAACCACAGACCACTCATCGCGGGCAGCCGGTGGTCTCGCAGTGGACCAACTGCAAAGTCAGGCAAAGCAGCAGAAACCCAGGTGTCTCCCCCAGCCCCCAGCTTCTGACCCGGCCGTCTCCACCCCCGGGGTGCCTGTCCCGACTCCGAGGCTGAGAGCAAAGCTGAGAAAAAGTGGCACACGCTGAACCCTGAAATAGCAAAGCAGGCCCAGCAGGCAGCGCCGCGAAGCGCTTGCACCCCCCTCCAAGACTGCAGGCCCCTTTCCCCAGCACTGGTCAAACCCAGCTGCAGTGCAGGCGATCAGAGGCACTGAGCCCGGCACAGCACTGGCGGGGAAGACGAGGGGCTCTGAAACACTGCACCCCCACAGCACAGCAGCAGCAGCAAGGACCGAGACGGCATCTTGAGCCCCAGCCGCCTCTCACCAGGGGTTGCTCCCCGTACTGCCCACCGTCCCGGCAGCCCGGGCTCCCGCTAGCCTGACGATGCCCAGCTGCCCCCACTTGTCCCTTGGGAAGTGACTTGAGCCAGCCGCCAGCCTGGCAGCCCGACTGTGTTCCTCCCCGGCTGATGTAACTGCCACAGGCTGCTCTCCCAATCCCTGCTCATGACCCCAGGGTGGAGGTGAGGACAAGACACCACCACCACCACGAGCTCCAACCAGCCAGCCAGGGACACGCAGGGTCTCTGGGCCCAGCCAGCCAGGGACACGCGGGGTCTCTGGGCCCAGCCAGCCAGGGACACGCGGGGTCTCTGGGCCCAGCCAGCCAGGGACACGCCTTTGGTCTCCAGGTGAACGCCTTCCTCATCAAGGCTTTAACACCAAAGAGAAAACTTGGCCCCTGCAGCCTCACCTCTTCCAGGGCAGGGCGAGCCTGCATCCCCGAGTCCACACTCCTAACGCCCCTACACCTACGCTTGTGGGTGAGACTCGGCCATTGTCTCCGGGAGGGCCGGACTGTGTCCCTGTCCCTCCCAGCCCAGCCACCAGCCCTACTGCAGGTTGTTGCAGACTCTGAACCCCGGCTGCTCCGTGGCTACCCTCAAAATGTCCACGTCTGGTTTGAGCAGCGTAAGTTGGGATGAGCTGTGTCCATTGCGCACTTCCTCTCCTTCTGGTCTCCACAGGAGGCTGGGCTGGCAGGCCACACAGAAGGGCAGGCAGGCGGGAGACGGCTACTCCCGTAGTGAGGGGCCACGGGTGGACAGACTCTCCGTTCCAGGAACGGGACCGGGACTGCTGCGCTGCCCACGGCGCCCTGCACACGCCTCTCTGGCAGTCTCCCCACACTTCCAGGCCTGATTTCAGCCAGGAGGGGCCCCGGGACGGAACACGCTGTCCACAGCAGCAATCTCCGCGGGGCAGACGCTCGGGCTGTGGGGCTGCGGACGAAGAGTGTTTGTAGCGAACACCAAGGGCGTTACGCAAGCAGCGGCCGCCCGCCACGGAGCCTCCCAAAGCCTGAGGCCCCAGAAGCAGCGCTCTGTTCTGGGCGACGACCCCTCAGCAACCACGGGGCAGCGTCGGGCCTTGTCTGGGAGGCAGGAGAGCGTTCTGCCAGCCCAGGGCCGCCCTGGCTCGCTAGGGTTCCAGCATTCGCACGGCATGAGGGAGGGTACAGGGGTCTCAGAGGTGGGTTCAGGCCACGACTCCACAGGGACTCACAGTTCAGCCAGGGGAAGGTGGGTCAGGTAGGTCCCTCCCAGGCCAACACTTGCCCTGGGAAGAGAGTCGGGAGCAGCGGGCAGGTGGACAAGCTGAGAGCCTGCAGTTCCAGCTGGGCCCAGCCCCCCACGGCTCAGGCCCAAGGCTTGCTGTCCCATCACGTGGCCCTGCCTTGCACACACACGGTGCTATGCCCCAGATACGGCGACAGCACCGCGAGAACTCGTCCTGTGGATAGGACGAGGCCTCTACAACCAGCCAGAGTCCTGATCCTGCCTCGGCCCCATGGGGGGCCCCCATGGTGGGGCCGGGCTGGGTGGTCCGGCCCCTCTGGGGCCTCAGGCTCCACACGTGGCACATGGGGGTCCCTACGCAGCAGCAGCCTTGGAGTGCTGTTCAGAGAGCTCATGAGATGGCCCTGGAAAAGCTCCCACCAGCTGTGCCCACCTGCCCGGGGAGGCGTGCGGATCTCATGTGGACAGGGAACAAGGCTCCTGCCAAAGGCTGCAGGGATGTGGTGGGGACAGGCGTCAGGTGGCCACTCCCCACCCTGATTCCAGTCCCGGGGAGCAGACCTGGACAAAGTGGCCAATTCCAGCTTCCTGGATGACCTCGTCTCTGTGGCAAAGGCCACGCATGAAAACACAGGGTGAGGGGACAGAGGGCCGGACGTGTCAGCAGCTGACACCTTCACGGTTGGTGCAGAAGAGCCGGACCTGCTCTGAAAGCCCTCCGTGGTGACAGGAGCGCCACTGCCTGCAGGCTGTCCAGCGCCACCTGCTGTGCGCTCCTGTACAGAGCGGCAGCCAGGGCTTCCTGCACACACCGAGGGAAGGGTATGTCACGGGCCCAGTCCACCTGGGGCGCCTGCCTGGCTTTCTGTCCCTCTGCTCGCTGCCCCAGGCAGGTGGAGGGTGGGGGCTCCTCGGGGCTCCTCCCTCCCGTCAAACTCAGCATCGGCCCCACCGTGGCTCTGGGCGCCAGGCACACCTTGCTGCAGCTGGCTGACTGCCGGTGCCAGGAGCCTCCTTGCTGAACTCAAAAGACCTCTGGACTCTGGCCAGGAGGCTCCGCCAAGGGCTCTGCAATGACCACCTCGTAAAAATAGAAAGCGAGGCCCTCTCGGCCCCAGCTGCAGTGTCCAGTGTCCCTGGCCAGCCGGCCTGGCATCCTGACGCACACACTGCCCCAAGCAGCTGAGGCCCGGCCCTGACCTCCACACAGAAATCCAGACCTCAGGGTATGGAGTCAGCGGTGCTCAGGCCCAGTTCCTCTTCATTCTTCCTTGTGCAACTCTACCTCTTGGGCCGAAAGCTCCCCAATGGCAGGCGTTGGGTGCAGCGGTTAATGCGTCACGTGGGACACCCACATCCCACATCACAGTTACTGCTTCCCGCCAGGGTGTACCCTGGGGGGTGACTGGCGATGGCTCAGTTCTCAGGATCCGTCACCGTGTGGGACCCAGACGGAGTTCCTGGTTCCTGGCGCCAGCCTGAGCAAACCTGGGCTGTCACAGGCACTTGAGGAATTTACCAGTGGATGGAGGATTTCTATTATTATATATTTTTATAAAAATAATAATTTTTATGGGGCTGGTGCTGTGGTACAGTGGGTTAAAGGCCCAGTCTGCAGTGCCGGCATCCCACTTGGGCACCGGTTCTAGTCCTGGCTGCTCCTCTTCTGATCCAGCTCTCTGCTATGGCCTGGGATAGCAGTAGAAGATGGCCCAAGTCCATGGGCCCCTACAGCCACATGGGAGACCTGGAAGAAGCTCCTGGCTTTGGATCGGTGCAGCTCTGGCTGTTGCGGCCAACTGGGGAGTGAACTAGTGGATGGAAGACCTCTCTCTCTCTCTCTCTCTCTGTAACTCTGAATTTCAAATAAATAAATAAATCTTTAAAAATAATAATTTTTAAAAAGCTCTGGTAAGCTGTGCTGAGACTTAGTGATTCTCAGTGCCTCTCTGAAGTACCAGCGGGAACACCTTCTGGCATGGCCACATTGTAACTGGAATGCTAAAGGACGCACCCTGGGAGGGTAACCATAGAAAGGGACAGGTAGGGATGGCCAGTGGAACACTACCGTGACCGTGGAACCCTACTGTGTGATAAACCCCACTATGGGTGCTGCATTCCACTGAGACTGCTGAGCCCACTGAGGGCGCTGAACCCCGCTGTGACTGCCAAGCCCCACGGTGGGTGCAGTGATTCTATGGGGGCTCCAGAACACGGAGCAGGGGCAGCTCTGCTCAGGCAGGAGAGGAAATCTCAACTCCAGGGCAGATGCACTGCCTCCCACCCCTCCCACCCCTCCCCACCCGATGAAGAATGTTCTGGAAGGCAGAACAACCTGTCAAGGAGATGGAAAGAACTGGAGCTGGCATTTGGGCCCAGGGCTCCCTGGCTCTCCAGGCAGAACCAAGCAGGGTAAGGGAAGTTAATTTTGGTGAAAAGGAATGTGTTTTACCTAACGCTTTTCAGCTCCTTGGTTCCAAATTAACAGCATCGTTCCTGTTCATCAAAACAGGAAACCAAAACAGCACCGAGAGCCTCCCAAGGAGGTTGAGCCCAGCTCCCGGCTTGGAGATCAGTGGCCCAGAGGCTGAGGCACGGGGTGAGGCCGGAGCGCGGTGGGGACGGGGCAGGGACGGCAAGCAGGCTCCTCCTGGCGTCCCTGGTCTCTCTTTACAAAGGCATCAGGACTGGGTCGTGGGCTCGACCCCATAGCCTGACCCACTCCCTTCACCTCCCACAGGCCCCACCCGCAGACACCACAGTGGATCAAGCTGTGGTCTCGTGCACCAGCCGTTACCACAAGACACTGGGCTTCAACGTCTGCATGCGCCTGGGGGCCAGATCCTTTACAGATCAAAGAAGATGCAGGCTGAGTTTGTCCTGCCACGTGTGCACATATCCACATGCATGCACGAGCACACACATGCACGAGCACACACAAAGCACATGGACAAATCATACACACGAATATATGCAAGGACAGGTACAGAAACATGCATCCACACAAAGCACACGTTTACACACACGTACACAAGAACACATAACCCATGCACACACACACGAATGCAGATGCATAGACACATGCATGCAAAAGCATGTGCAC